GAGGACGGGGTGAGGAGGGAGGCGAGGACGGAGGCGATGATGGAGATAAGGACTGGATGGAGGTGGTGACGGAGGTGAGGATCAAGAGGCGCATTTCTATAGAATGCTCAACGCCTCTTTTCTTACGTTGCTTCTTTTTTCTTAGAACTCCAAATAGCGCCAAAGGTAGGGTAGCACCATAGAATGATATTCTGAAAGCTCGTCAACGATACAACTTTCGATCTTGTAATTCACTTACAAGCACTCTAATAAAACATGGAAACCAAGACGTGAGAAGTCTATTCCTTGAAAATGGCAATCATCCTCGACTACTATTAACACACAGGGTTATTAAAGAAGGCTGCTGTCATTTTAAATCGGAGCTAGTGTTCACTTTGAAAGTATTTTTGTAGCATTTGAGTTGAATGTGGAGTTGGTCCTCCCCATTCACACACTGATTCACCTCAAAGAACGCGTACTTGCCTACGACAAGGTGTATAAGTAGGACAAAAAGTATAGATTTCATTCCACATACTTGCACTAATATTTTTCACGTTACAATGACGAACAACGACTTTATCAACATTTCAATTACATCGAAATTTTCAATTACTTAGAAATTTTCAAGTTCAGCTGTTATTTAGATTGTGTACTTTCAACCAAGGAAAAATAATTAATGTCCGTTTTTTCACATAACTTCACGCAATAGTTTTAGATCATTCTTTGTAACCCTACATTCATCTCTTACTACGTTTGTCTTCTGGGTTTGGATTTGCACAATTAAATTTCGAAATTGAAATATGTACGTGCATTTGCAGACGTGCTTATTGACTTTTACGCAATTTCTTATGCTCAGATGTTTGGTAGGTAGTACTTATGTAGTCAAGGAGATTTCATGTTCGAAACACAAATCTATGCAGTTCGGGTTGCCCAACAATCAGGGACAAATGCTATACTACGTAAAAGTTATATAACTCCGTTACATTAAATTTCCCATCATACGTTCATTGTCAAAATAATTATCAATTTCGCCTTTCCGCACGCCCTAGAAGTTTGTAACATTTGTTCTGAGACATTACTTATGTGTGTAAACATTATGTGGAAAGGGAGTTGCTGAAGTCTCCAATTGCAAGGGGTCGTCATTCCATATCCTTAGTCTTCGCGAATCCTTTCGCATAAGTGCTCCAAACGATTCGCTCGAGAAAGAGGCCAGAAATTTATGTGTTTACCAACCCTCTTTCCGCGAGAGACTCCATTCGCGGCGGAGCAAGGAACGTCGAGCGAACGCTCGTTTGCCTAGCTAACAACAAAAGCGACCTGAAAGAGCGAGAAGTTTTTGACATAAAATTATTGGTTTTATAAACTTTTATTGACTTGACGAACAAAACCTCATTTCACACAAAGTTATAGAGTTGAAATTTCTCTCATTCTAGATCGTCAGATAATTATATCAAAATGCTAAAAGGTAAGCAAAATAGTTTTTGTCTAATTTTATATTTTCATTTGCATGAAACAAACTACTTTATGAATAATAAAAAAACATATCTACGATATATCTACGTGAATTTATCTTCACCGAACATGGAATTTTGCTGCTGCGTTGCATCATTTAGAAAGAGAGGTATTTTCGTCCATTTTTTATCAATGGAGGGAACAGATTTTGAAGTAGCACAAATATATATATAGAAATTACTGCATAGGTGATAAGAATAATTTTCAACTAGTAATGGTTTAAATATCTCTCTAGAAAACACAGACATAAAAATGCTGATATGTTGTTTCATACAACTGTGCGAGATGCCATTAATCAGTTCTGAACGATTCAGGAGTAGAAATTTAGAGTAATATCGAACATTCGTGGTTTCCAATGTATTCAAACATCCTCCCTCCACCTTTATTACTTTTGTGTGTACAAACGTATATAAGGAGTAATGTATGTATAGGGAAAATTATGTATTGATGCAGAAAATTGATTTCGATATTTTCACTTAAATTCACATTGTGGGCTCTCCTGATAACATTCTTTAAAATTTGGAGTTACTTTACATGTTTATAACGCAACTACATAAGGTGTAATTAAATGGAGGAGTAAAGATTCGGGAACACAAAGTGCACAATTTAAGTCATACTTCTATCTTCTACATTAATACTCGTTTTATTGTTTTTGTCGATTCGAAAAATACTCAAGATATTTCATTATTCAATCTCGAATGTCAACGAGAGAAATACTCACTTAATACATCAGGTTAACTATTTTTCATTATTAATATAAAACGTTTTGAAGATACTCCCTGAATACATCAGTTTAACTGTATTTTAGTATTATTATAAGCGCCGCAATGTTAACGTTTAACATTCAAAATATAAAAAATGACATAAATATTGAACTAAGGGCAATATAAACAGCGAAGTGTTCGAGCCTTCCTTACAATTTCACCCGAAATTACCTGTTCTTAAATTTCTGTTGGACAAAAACTATTTTCAAGTACTTCCTATTTGAGGTACAAGTACAAATAAATCAATAACGCAAGGGAGCATGACCCAGGCTCTCGAATTGACGTCGGGAAATAGCCTGTTCGGGGGCAAGACCCGCACACCTCTTTCCATCAAGGTTTCGTTCGATCTCTTCAAAGCAATGCGCCTCTCTTAGCCCTCTGATACACCAGGCCCTCGATACATCAAAGGGAATGTGCGGTCTCTCCAGTACACCGCGGAGAAGTAGGTCAGGAAGCCAACCTGATGGAATAGCGTGCCCTCTACGCGTGTTGCTTCGACAGCAGCCGCTTACAAGGAGAGTCGTTGCCGAGCACTTCGCATCGCATGATGCAAGAACCTCGAACATTCTCGTTATACTGCTGCGTTACCTATCGGGCGATCTGTAGAATTTCTTCTACAGATCGCCCTGGGGAGTACTTGCTTTCTTAACAGCTCACTGGATCGCAAATAAACGACGCCTTGCTTGCTCTAGTTGCTCAACAGTTATACTCATTCATGGTAGGTAATACACAAATAGCTGTGCATGGAATATGGAGTGGGCGGCAAGCACATTTTTATCTTCGAAGTATTAGGAATAACGACTTGCGTATCGATCTCTGTACGCTTTTTCGTGTCACTACCTTCTGAACTTCGTGTCAGACCTCACTAAACAATATACAAATAACTTCACTCAACACGACAGTATATATTATTTTCCGTGTCATAAGATGAAACTTTCGCACCTCCTCGTTACAAGGAGGCAGCAGAGGAAGAAGGCGATGGAAATCTCAAATGTCTGAGATCTTATTTTAAAAATAGTAATAAAGCTCACCAAATATCAATGTTACACGTGCCCTGTAATATCTTTTCTTTTGTTATAACCAACTCGTTACATTGATGTAAATAATATGTTAAATAAAGGTAATCAAAATATTTAAAGAAACATTCATAATTGATAAAGAGACATAAGTTAAGAATTCAAAAAAATATATCATAGTATGTAAAATATTTGTCTAACATTTTAAATCATATTTGTTCGAGATTTTTTTATTACATTCAACGAATATGAATTTTGAGAGAACATTTCAAACGTAAGAGAATGGCAATTGAAATTATTTTAAATCTTACTCCTTTACATATACAAAATATATTATAACGTTGTCATATAGTAACTTTAAGCACAAATTAGTATTGCCCGCGTAAATAATTCTAACTATTATGCTATTTAAACACTACTAATTGCATTCAATGGACGAAGAAACTCGTCCGGTAAAAAAATGTGCGCAGCAATCTTGTGCGCCGAATATACAGAATTTGTTGCAAATAACTAGAAGTAAATGTTACTGTGAATTACGATTCAATCTGAACAATCTGCAGTACACCTTGGGAAACTACTACTTTCAGAGCATTTAGTAAGGTATTCAACTATAAGGTATTCAATTATAAGGTATAAACGAAAAAAAAAACGCCACAGCGACTAATTTCCTGAGCACTCATTATTAATTAATTTATTATTTTGCTGTACCCAACTGTATGTCCACAAAAAATTACTCCATATGTCTTATATAAGTACGAAAATCGAAAACAAATATATTACTTCTGTTACTCTATACTGACAAAAACGTTTTCATTACTTCCGTAAAGCAACCCAAAGAAAATATATGAAAATGATCTGTCCAACCCTGCCTTCAATTCATATCAATACTTTAACTCTTTTTTTCTCATGGGCTTTAACACAATATATACAAGCCAAAACAGCAATAACCCATTATAACTGTCAGGCGATCTAAAAGTAGACAGAATTGTAGGTCCGCATGGTGTTGAAGTTTGCACCCTTATTACGTCGATTCACAAAGTTTTGTTTCTTTTTCGCTCGAATCCGAAAAAAAGTACATTTTTCGTCGAACTATCCCTAAGGCTTCGTCTAAGCACAACTTTCTGGGCGTTTTAGAAGAAGACCAATCGCCAATAAACTCCAGTGCAGAAATGAAGAGTTTTTGAGGTAAATGCCAAAGGAATCATTTGAACTATGTGAAGAGAACACGGGAAAGTTTTTAACATCTGAAATGTTTCACTCCGTACACAAAAATTCACTACTGGACTCATATCTACGATTATTTCCTTGACGCAAAATGTTACTGGTCTAAATGGCATTTACACAGAAATTGAAGACACATATTTTCCGTGATTTTCAACAACATATTGAGCAACGTTGTACGCAACAATGAGCAACGTTGTACGATTTAATCGAAAGCGTACAAGGCAATGTATCATAACTCCGACAATTTAGGAATCCATTATCACAAATCAACATAATTACACTATCACTTTTTGAAGACTAAGAGAGTTAAAAAGTGTTCGGTTAATTTAAATGTGTGAATGAATATCAACACTGTAAAGAAGTGGTATTCTGGATCAATAAAGTTAGATTTCTCGACCACCCATCCCGAGCAACGGGAGGCCTGTACTTCGAACCGCCGGGAAACACAGCACACGTGACCAGCAGCAACAGCAGCGCCCGCGTGGCGGCGGGAGGAGTGACTCACCGTCTTGTTGCCGAGGTTCTTGACGCGGCAGTTGAGGTAGGCCGTCTTGCCCAGCAGCGCCGTCACGTTCTTGGAGGCCACCTTGTCGAAGTAGGGCCCCGAGCGCGGCGCGCCCAGCTCCAGCTGGTTGCCGGCGCCCTGCCCGCTCTCCTTGGCCTTGCTGGCCTCCCGCTGCGCCGCGCGCGCTGCAACACGCACACGCACGCGCACGCACGCGTCAGAGGCCGTTCACATCTGCGGTTCACTTAGTGATATTATAGCAAGTGCAATTTGGTCTTAATTTAACAAATATTCAGTGCGGATTTAGATTATAGAAATTTCTTTTTCGTAAAGTAACGTAATGTTTTATGCATCAGTCAGATTTTTTATTATTATTATTATTATTATTATTATTATTATTATTATTATTATTATTATTATTATTATTGTTGTACAATTATTATAATATAATTTTTATGTTAGTTATATGGCCTTATTTATGTAATTAACTGCCCCCGGGTTATTCCCAATTGCAGTTTAAATAAATTTATATTTATCTTTGATTATTGCGTCTGACAAATATAAAAGTGGACAATAATATACATTTCATCTATTTATTTTGATGCATCGAGACATGGTTTTAATGAGAAAATAACAATAAAGATTTTCAAACTTTTTACAATTAGGCTTAAGAAAATCAAGCAATAAATTTTATGAAACATAAAAATTATAACAAGATGAAAATCATAAGCTAATTATGAGATACCTGGGTCGAAAACTGTAAAAATAAAGTTAAAGGTTTAAAACTATTTACTGAATTTTATGAATTCATTGTCAATAAAGCACTGTGTTTAATGCAAGATTGACAATAGTTCAATGAAATGCAAATCAATTGTTAACTTTTGACTAGGTTATACACAAATGGCTAAAAATATATGTGTCTCATAAAAAGATAGGATCAGAAAGGGTACAAGATGGAGCGACGTAACTTTAAGTTGTTGTTATCAACTCACTCACATGAATCAAAGATTTCAACATACAATTATAATATATTTAAAGTATTTAAATAAATTGAAATAAAATATTAGTTCCTCTGCATCAGCCATGTTTAAGTTACACAAGTCTGCAAAGTAAGGCTGTAAGAGATGTTGACGGAAAACGATGATTGAGTAACAATATCAATATCTTTCTCACAAGATCAACAATACGACCTACATTTTTCTTATCAAAGTATACCCTGTCCTTCTAGAGTGAAGGCGCTACAGTAAATATAAAGGAGAGTCAAATTTTAAGATGAATTCAATTTTCAGAAATTAGAAAATACAAACCAGAACAAATATTTCATCAATTTTCGTAAATTCATTGAACGTAGTATCGTTCCCAAATCCACATTTTCCTTACCTCCTCAAATAAAACACATGAAACTAAACAAAACATCTAGGTGTAAAGAACTATTACTTTTCTTGACCATCCCACCCGTCTTACCACCGTCTTATCTTAACCACATTGCTCTGGTTTCAATTTTGTGTGGTATCACCTTGCTTCGTTTTGCCACCTCAGACTACTATTCCTTCGCAAACACGCTTCATCTTCAACAAACGAAAAGATACCGGCTGAACGCAAGTGGCATTCCGCACTCCTCAATTTGGAGCTTGTGTTCCGCTCCGCCTCTGCCATGTCGTTCTTTTCGTGATGTCCTTTGTCTTCGCCCGCCTTCGCCTACGCCCCATCTCAGCGCGCAGCTCCCCGCACACGCGCGCAGCTGCTCGCGAAGGCGATTAGCCGTCGACCGTGGCGGGCTCGCACCCGCAGAGCCTCGATCGCAACCCCGCCCCGCCCCCCACTCC